CCGCCGCCTCGCAGAGCCGCGCCGGGGGTGGGCCCGGGTTCCTCAGTCGTCGCCATCAGCGCGAGGTGCTGCGGGAGGGTGGGGTGGCCCTGCAGCTGCCGAAGGCTCCTGACGTCAAGACGAAAACGGGACCTAATTTTCTAAAGAAACCCTGATTTTTAAGTAGCCGTCTCGGTGCATGTGCTCCTCTGCAACAAATACGGCTCAGCAAAGGCGTGCGGTATCTTTTATACCGGCCCTGCCCCAGCAGAAAATGGGTCTCTGAAAAAAGGAATGCTTTTCTGAGAGGCAGCGCTCAGGATGTGTTAGGTCTGAGGCTCTTCCCCGATTAGATGGGAAACAAAAAGCAACAGAGATGGGATGTTCGCGTGTGGGCGAGGACAGCCGAGGTGTGCGGTTCTTGCTCTCTAATTCAACTTCCTTAGAAAACTTTGCGCTCCGGTAAGCAGCAGCGGCTGCTGCGGAGCAGCTTTTCTCCCCTTAGCGGGGGTTAACAGCCCTTTGGGAAGGATCCTCGTGCACAGACCTTGCGGATGTCTCCCCGTGTACGGGTAGGGCGGGACAGCCAGCCACCCTTTTGGGGGTTTCATCGGGTCAAGCTGTTCGTGGTCAAGTTATTTTGAGAGGGTTGAGGACAGGCAGCGTATGCAATGGAGCGAGACGGCGCAGCCGCCAGGGATCTGAACGCTGAGAAATGAAGAAGGGAAGATGGTTTCGTTTGTGTTAAAACCAATGGATAATCGGTAGGAGCCTGCCCAGAAGGCATCATGTGTTTTCACCAAAGGATGCCTAAAGATCCGTATCTCCTTTCTTTGCAACTAAAGCTTGTAAAAACTATCCTTCAACCTTTCCAGAGCTCTGCTGGATTTAAAAGTAATGTATTAGGCATAAAAATGCCTCGGCAAGTAATGCTTTAAAACATTGAAAGATGAGACATCTTCTGGGACTGACATTGATAAAGGGACGAAAGAGGCTCCAGCCTGTGACTCAAAGAAACCTCAGGCTGTTGTGGTTTAGTCTCTGGGCGTTCCCCTGCACACCTTAGCTGCGCCTTGATTCCACCTTACTGCGGCTTTCCTCTGACCTGGTAGGAAAAATTGCTGCTATTGTTTGTAGCTGGGGCCAGGCCCATCTGGTGTCCTTCCCCTTCTTCCTCGATAAATAAACTGTTGTGGTGAGACACTGGTGCAAAGGAGAGGAGACTGGCAGGCAAGCAAGGAGAGCATCAGGGAGAATGGAACGACTGAAATACAGGTATCTGGGAACTGAGGGGAAGGAAAGTGAATTAAATCACAGTTTGCCAGTGATCCGTGCCCCGTGGCATCGGCGTTTGCTTTTGGTCAGTGGATTTAAGATGGGTAATTTGGCTTACGGGAATGCTAGAGGTGCGTCCCATTCCTGCAGCGTGTGCGCCTCCCACGCCGTGGGGAAGCGCTCCTGGTACCTGCAGCTGGGTTAGCTGAGGATCCAGCTGCTCGGCAGACGGGTACGGGCGCACCGGCCCCCGAATGAGCACTCGCTCGGGGACACGGTGCAGGTGACCTTGCTGCACTAGTACCCGTCGCTGCATGGTATGTAAGGACCAGGTGAGGGAACGTATACTCAGATCTGAGCTGGCAGGATAAATGTGTCCCCCCAGAAAAGCTCTTGGGCCCCTGGTAAGGTAGGCCTGAAGAAAATGGGTAGAAAGAGTGAGAACGGATAGAAATCACACGATGTTCCAGGGACACCTGAGGACCTGGAATCTGCACACCGTGTGTAGGAAATCCCAGTGTCTTTTTGAAAGGGGGTGGGGGACACGGGCCATGAGCCAAGTGACAGGGGAATAGTCACAAATCAGGTTTGCCAAGTACTGGGAAAACTAAAACCATTTCCAGAGCATCTCCTCTGGCACAGAGATTCTCAGGTGACTCCTGTAGCGGGACATGGCACGGGGTTAGACGTTAGGGAAGCTTATGAATACAGAGGTGCACACATATGACTGAAGCCAGGGGCTGGAAAAGGCTGGCATGAACGAGTCACATAAAACAAGGCTTCTGGGACTGGGCTCAAATGTAATGAAGCACGCTGAGACCTCAGATGAACAAAGCACCTTCTGCTGTCAGGTTCACTCTGCCTGCCTTTTGGGGTGGAGGGCCTAAAAGATAGCTTAAAAGCAAACTCGAATCCCTATTTGCTCTGATAAAGCATACGCAAAACCCACAGAAAAAGTTGATTTATAGATTTGAAATAAAGTACCCATGGCTTTATATGGAATCCTAGAAATTTATTTTCATCTGAGGACTAAAAAGAGAGTTAAATATAAATTACATTCTTTTCCAGGAAAAAAAAAAAAAATCCCTTGCTTTCTCACTGTCCTTGTGGTTCATGTTTCTGATACCGAGATCCTTTTCCTCCAAGGCGCTCGGTGTTCACTCTGGGTTTGTACAGCACAGGTATCTCCGGGCACAAGCTTAGAGCTGACAGAGCCCCGAGTTGACGGGCGCTGTTGGTATGAAAGGACTCTTAAACCATTCTGACCTTCGTTGAGAGGTTGTTCTGGTATGCAGGCAATAAGCAAGTAAGCTGACATCATAGGGCAAACCCCGTATTCACCCTGCGGCACTTTTTGATTGCTTATAAACTTAAACAAGACTGTATTTGTACAATCAAAACCAGGAACTTGAGGCCAGATGGTCCCCACAGGCTCCTCAGGTGTTTGCAGACAGATCCTGAGCATCACTGCCAAGTAAAACTTCTCATTTCCCTCTTCAGGGCAGCACAGGACGGAGGAATTCCGGAAGGTGAACGTCCTGATGAAGGTGCCCGCGCTAAGGGATGGTTCTTTCACTTTAGCAGAGAGGTGAGGCTCAGATAAGCTCAAACCCCTCCTGCAGTATTGTTTATCCTAATGCTTGGATTCTGCCAGTGCACTGTTCGGTCTCTACTGGGACTCCAGCCCAGGTACTTGTTTGCCTCCTTCCTATCTGTTCCACTTGTACATAAAATAAACCTATGTTTCAAGAGAAGCTTTCTCATGTAAGCAACTCAAACAGCGTTGCTCATGGAAAAATCTGTGAGCTGCTGCTTGGCGCTAGTTTGCATGTAGGCAGCGTTTCTAAGCCAAAATACCTGTCCGTGTGTCCTCCTGCTCTCTGCCTTCAGCTGGAGGCTGTAGGTCAGTGCAGTAAATCTGATGCAAGGCACCCGCTGCTGGATGGCCAGGCAATACAAAGCTCTGATTTGGTATAAGCTCATTCTGTGGCTCATATTTGCTCAAAAAACGTTGATGGGGTAACTGTACCAGCAGGCCACGTCTGTCTCGCTGGGCTGATGAATCAGGTAATTGCCGTCCACAAGCAGCCGGTCAAGCCAGCACCAACTCTCTAATGTGCTGTGCCTAGCTGACAGTTGTGCGTCCTGCACTTCTGCCTGACTCAGATCGGGTTTGTATTGCTGCTGGTCCAGCAGTGCAAAATTTGGGGAAAGAAGAAAGGATGAGGTGCTTTAATCTCAGCTGATCAGCTCACCGGTCTGCCTTGCTCTCTGGGCAGCATTGCAATCCTCCTGTACCTGGCCCGAAAATTCAAGACTCCTGATCACTGGTACCCATCTGACCTGCAGAAAAGGGCTAGGGTTGATGAGTACCTGTCGTGGCAGCACGTCAACATTCGTGGGAAGGGGAGCAAGCTGTTCTTAACTAAGGTAAGACCATTATATACTAAAAACTAAGTGCTAAGAGCTGCGAGTGCAACGGCCCAGGAAGTACCTCCTGTGTGCAGGGCCCTCCTAAGCAAATATACAAGCCAGGTGACAGATAGGAACAAAACTAGATCTGGAATTGACTTGCCTGCTCAGCCGACCCTAACTGAAGAGGCCCGAATACTCCATGCTGCAGCCACAGCTCTGTGCGTGCACTGAGATCCAGATCAAATTCGTCCTGGGTGAGCAGCTAACACCAGACACAGCTCACTGCCTTCTGCCCGGCTCCGTGGAAAGAACGAACCTCCCATTGGAAAACAAAACGCAGCTGCTTGCAGATGATGCAGCCTTCCCTTGAGAGGAGACTCTCGTGGTTGAAATTTCAGACTTTCTAGGGAGGAGGCAAGGACAGGCAGGAATTAATGACTGACGTTAATCTGCCAAAGGAGATGAGCAGTACCAGTTGTTCTCGTGCATGGCTGGTGAGGGATCCTTAGAAGAAGGCAGGGGGAGGGTGTGGACTAAGTTTGGAGGGAAATACGTAAAAAGCAACTTGTTTCTTCTCCCTGCCAGGTGCTGCTGCCTCTCCTCACAGGCCAGCCACTTCCTCCAGAGAAACTGGAAGGTGTTACTGAAGAGCTGAACGTTGTCCTGAAGCAGTTTGAGGAGAAGTTCTTGCAGGACAAGCCCTTCATCGCAGGCAGCGAGATCTCCCTGGCAGACCTTGTAGCACTGGTGGAGCTCATGCAGGTGAGCATCAACCCCAGTGCTGTTGGATATGCAAGCTGGGTTGCGGGCAGGGCAGGCCAAGGTGTGGCTGCAGCACCACCACCTCCTTAATGGCAGACCTTTCTCCCTGCAGTTTATTCCTTAGTGGAGTTAAACCTTGTTCCTTTTTGACTTTGACCATAACTGAGTTTTCCAGGGAACACCTACTTTGAGACAGTTCTCTCTATAGAAGTATGGACAAAATTCCTCAGAAAAAAAGATAAATTACATACTAGGCAGAGAAAGTGCAGATATTTGGGAGAGATGTGTTGGTGTGCGTGGACCTCTGTGTTCCGCATTAGACAGTTCTTGGGTTAGCCGTGGCGGTGCTCGTTCGCTGCACATCCCAGGGGACAGCAGCTGCTGAGGATGACAACGCTTGCTTCCTACTAGCTAAGAACCGGAGGTGAACTCCGCCTAATGTGACGACTGTCTGCAGCCTTGAGCCAAAAGCATATCCGTGCTTCAATCTGGTCCCATCCCTGGTAAATGCGTTGTTGGACTCACTCTGGGGTTCTCTTGCTCTCTCTCTGCAGCCCGTAGGTGCTGGCTATGACCTCTTTGAGGAGAGGCCGAAGTTAGCAGAGTGGCGCAGGCGGGTGGAAGAAGCGGTGGGGAAGCAGCTCTTCCAGAAAGCCCATGAAGGGATCTTGAACGCCAAGAACTTGACCGCTGATAAGATTGCGCCCGAACTGCTGGAGCATTTCAAGCACCAGCTCCTAAAGCAAGCCAGCCAGAATTAGGGGGTTGTACCCTAAGTAAAATGGATTATTTTGTGCAGGCTTTTTGTAGTATTTCAGCATTTCTTCTAAAAATCATACAGAAACACCATTCCACAAAATGCACTTCAATCACAGCCTTTCTGCAACTTAGAAGGGAAGAAAACTACATCTTAAACAGACTGCAGTGAGCTGCTTTCCCCTCTGGTCCACTAGTTATGTGAGCTGTAGCCCTATAGGCTTTTCTTTCTCGCTCCAACACCACTGGATCTACTTGAGGACAGAGGTGATTCAGTCCACGTGGGAACTGGGGCCAGTCAGCACTGCCCTTTCTATCCCTGTTTTGAGTTTTCCAGGTCACAGCACCATAGAAGGGGCAAAGGTTTCCTGAGGGTATGGCAGAGCAGATGTGTCTGAAACAAGGAAAAAATCATTGAAAATGGCTTTCACTTTGCAACGCGCTCAGTTGGAACATTTTTGCTCTTTACTAGAGAGACGGGTCAGGACCCAGCCCTTGGTGGGGACCCTGCCAGGACCCTTAGAGCACCTGGCCACTACAGGCTGCTGCATTACCTGTGGGAGCAAAGGGACACAGCACCTAGGAGCAGAGGGGCTGTGCAGGTACCCAAGTGAGGCCTCCAGCTTCTGGGAAGGACGGGGTTAGTCCCATGAATAAAGATCCTCAACCGTAGACTCATGCCATACTCTACAAAGAACAGCCTGCACAGCTGAGAAAAGCTGCTTTTCTAGGTGAAGCTGCTGCCAACCACACGGTCTCCCTCTGCAAAGCATATCGGTGCTCTTGACCTTTCCCCAGAGCAGCTTTGTCAGCTCAGTGGAAGCCATTCAAGCCAGGCTCTCTCCACTGAGGAGTGCTGCCGTGGCTGGGCCAGCATTGGTGGCAGAGGGAGCTGTGCTGGCCAGCCCCGGGGTGAGCAGAGTGCGCAGTACGTGAGCTGAGTAACGCCTCAAATACAGTTAATGTTCCACTACCCTTCTGTCACGTCAGATTCTCCAGTAAAGTTAATGGTTACACTTGCCACGTGTTGTAGCTCTGTGTGGGTTTGTAATCAGGATTTGGAAGGAAGCGGCCACAGATTCATCCTCCACACCTGTGCAGCGCTCTTCCCAACCTCTCGCCTGTGTCCCTTTGTACCCCTCCTGCCTTCCTGTCCTCCTGTCCCTGGGAACTTCCATTTCCAGGTGCGAGCCACGAGGAGGGTGCCAGTTTGCAGAACTGTGTTTTTCCCTCCTTTTAAGCTCTGGTTGTATCTGGAGGTCTGTTTGTCTCTGCTGGCTGGTTACACCATACACAGAGATGGCTGCGTAGTAACGCTGGGTGTGAGACGTCAGTCATCTTAATGCAAGTCAAGTGACTACAGCGCTCAGAAAAGGTGGAAGTAGCTGCTGAAACCAGTCTCGCACATCCTTTCAGCTGGACGTACTGGTTTTGGAGAATGAGCCAGCTGCCTCTTCTGTGTTTGTTTCCTGAGCAAACCTGCCCTTTAGTTCAAAAGGGCACCATGAACCACAGCTTGCAACACACGTCCCTGTGGACTGAGCTAAAGCAGCCAAGCAGGCCAGTCCCTTTTACTTTCCGTTCTTCCAACCTGCAGGAAATCAAATGTCAGCAGTGAAAAAGCAGATTTGCCCCAAAACTCTTTCCGTTTCAGTGCTGACGCAGGCAGAGGATATTTGTCTTCTTACCTGATGTTTTTTATTGTTAAGTTTGTTGAGGAGAGCCTATTGCACTCCAGTCGGCAAAGTGGGTGACAGCAGCTTGCTTCTCGCTCCGAGAGTGCTTGCATGGTTGGTGCCTGAGCAGCAACCCCTGTGGGTGCTGCACTGCTGCTCTGCTGTAGCAGCTTGCCTGCAGTGCTAAGACTAAAGAAAATGGCCTGTTTACACTGTACCGCTAACCACTTCCTTTCCTCTGTAACCTGCAGCTTGCCACAGCCACCAGCTGGGCTTCTGCATACCACCGGAATAAAACTGGTTCTTCTTTGCTACTTCTCCGTAGCTGCCCAAACTCACTGCGCTCTCTCCTGTTAGCACGTTGTACTTTGCCTAACTTCCAGATTCCTGACCTCCAACTTCTCCCTTTTTTGTAGAGAGCAAACCTCTTCCTACCAGCACAACAAATTCCTCACGCAGCTTCTGTTCAAGTAGAAGCAGAGCAGAGAAGCCATCAAAAACAAGAGCCTTAATCTATAGAGTGCTAATCTTGATAGACCTCAAAATGGGCTTGGTAGCAGAGCCCTTCTTGATACACGTTTCCCTGCAGAATCTCAAGATAGGGCTGCTGTGCATGCAAAATCATTGCATGAGCCAAAGCAAATAAAGTGTCTTTTTTTTTTTCCTTATTTATGATACTTGCAGTGCAAGAGCTCCATGTAAGAGAGTCTTGAGCCAATTCTCTGCTTGTTTGAATAAGGCACAAGCTCCTTAACTGTCACCCATTGTGTGCTCTTGCAAGGATGGCTGCCTTCAAAAACAAGCTGGAACTACGTTCAGAGCTCGTTGTCTGGTGCTCCTCTGCTGCCAGTGTCACAAAGGATAAACACACAGATCGGCTACCACCCCCGCTCCAGCACGGTTGTGCTGACGGGAGGAGATTTTAAATTGTTTTTCCCATGGTCTCCTCTGTCTGCTCTAAGCCCATCTGAACTGTAGGGTCACTCTCCCAATGAAGCTGTGTGTGCAGTGACCAGTGGCATTTTGGGCCCTTCTATGCCTGCAGGACAAAGCACCTCCCCAGAGCAATTCCTTGGATTAGAGCTGTTCAACAGATAAATGTGCCTTGCTGGTTTTTTTGCTCTAAATTGTGCAGATAAGGCATTTCATCCTTGTACTTTGCCTTTTGCTGTCTCTCCACCTCCCCCATTTTGTTCATTTGTGTCATTTGATCTTGGCTGGTTCCAGCTCCTAGACTGAGAGCCCCAAGAGCCGCCTGCCAAAACCCAACAGGTTGTGCGAGTGTTTTGCCTGCCGCAGTGCAAGGATTGTTCAGTGTCTGCTCCCCTCCCACCTGAATATGGAGAGCGGTTACACCTCCAGTGACAGTTTAATGTGCTGTTCTGATACAATTTCCTCAATTCTTGCCAGGGGCTATTTGGAAATAGGTAAGAACCTGTGATTTCTAGAGTAAAATGAAGCTGGGATACACAAAATGGGAGGAATGTTTAAAAAACAGATACACATCCTGAGACATTTTCTAAATGATTAAGAAATAAACTGCAAAATTTACTGCATTTTTTATGTGTTGTTCCTGTTTCCAAAAAGCTGATAGACAAAAGTACAAGGAGGAAAAACGGCCTTTGCAGTGATAGAGCCAAATGAAAATACAATGCTAGAAGCACTAGCCTAGAGCCAGGAATAATGCAACCAAATGACATATAACACGACCAGATAAAAATATCTCTTTGGTTGTGTGGGCTGTGCAGTGCAGTCAGCAAACTGGAGAAAAACTTAAGGAAGGAACGTTTCCAGGAGGCACATGAAAAGATCTCTGAAGTCCAGATAGGACTAATGGATCAATTGAACCATAAATAAAGGAGGAAAGCTGCTAATCTTGCTACCCACCGCTGAGATCAATGAACTCTTAGTGATATCTCAGAGCAGGGACATGCAACCATTTTGAAGCAGAAACACTTCTCAGACTATTACCTGTGCAGAGCCACATTCACGCTCCTTTTCCCCACTCCCTTAAGATTTCTTTGCACTGAACGAGCTTGACGTGAACTCAAGCACCTGCCACGATACTCTGCGAGCCTTCATCTCTGGTGTGTTGGTGCTGCATGCAGGTGCTCTAGAGGCTAAACTGTACCGCAGGGGAGCTGAAGCGTGTGGGTAGACAGCCCCTCTCCCTATTCTGGCCAAGAAACTAAAAAAATCTTGTCGTGCAATTTCTAAATCTGAACAGTGACTCTGAAAATAGGTGTGTGGTGCAGCGAACTCAATACTTCATGTTGAGATGCAGCTTGTTTACCAGACTCTGGCAGACTGACCAGTCTAACAGTAATCCCCATTCCTAAGGAGTTCTCAGAGCAGAAGTCTTGGCAAAGTGGTATAAAAGGAAGCACCTGAAAGTGTTCCCATTCGTAATTTATCCAATCAACGAGCTCCTGGCTCAGCATCCAAGCCTTTTCACCACTCTTTGTGATGATCCTTTACACAAGTGAAAGAGCAACTAACCCTCCAGTTCCCTCTCCCTGAGGTTCCTGTGGCTCTTTCCAAGGATTTGTGCGTGACGTACAAGCTCTCTGGCACAGCACTGATAAAAAGGTGTCAGCTGAGCCGAGGTGGGTTTGACTGGGGGTGACTTTGCTCCGAGTGGTTCAGCCACGCTATCTTCCAGAGTCCCAGAAGTCCCTGCACTCAACCAGCATGTCACCTTCCCCGAATCGCACAGCTGTGAAACGCTGCGGGTTCCATGCAAGGGCTTGAATTTAGTCTGAACTTCTTCAGTTCTCCTCCGCTTGTGTGGAAATCTGAAATGACAAATACCAGGGAGAGGGGAAAGCCACCTGACTGTGAGTATGCAGAGGTAATGCCTGCAGAGAAGTCCTCCATGCTTCACTGCCATTCAGGTGTCACCTCGCAGCGCTGGGCAGAGACTATGTGACCAAAGAATTATCTTCTGAACTGAAAACCATATTGAGATCTAGTGGTGCGAGATTAATGCTGGCTTAGAGATGTCGCGCAAGGGCCCCATGTGCAGCGTGACACATCCCTGCAGGACCGCATTATGAAAACAAGCATTTACCTTGTGAGAGCCGTGGTGGGATGCTGCGGATGAGAGCGGGCTCCCGAGCCCCTGCGGCATCAGCCAAGGCTGTGGAGGGGAACGACAGCCCCCGCTCCCTCGGTGCTTAGTGCCAACCTCTCTTTTGAGGGTGGTAATTTACCATTACTCGTATGTTACCTTCTTTTCCCGAAGCTGGCCTACAGGCACAGTGCCAGCCTTAGCGTGGCCAGGGCTGCCTAACCTGGTGGGATGGGGAGCCCCGTGTGTCCCCCCCGGGCTCCAGGCGTGCCCCGCTGCCCCTGCCGC